ATAAAGAATAATAATAATAAAAGAACGGGCATATAGAGCAATGGAATAGAACAGAGAGCTCAGAAATAAACCCACACCTTTATGGTCAACTAATATTTGACGAATAAGGTAAACACATACAATGAGGTAATGATAGTCTCTTTCATATATGGTGTTGGGAAAATTGGACAGATACATTCAAAATAATGAAACTAGACCACCATCTTATACCATACACAAGAATAAATCCAAATGCATTAGAAATTTAAATGTAAATATTGAAATCATAAAAATCCTAGAAGAAACATAGGCAGTTAAATCTCAGATATTTCTCGAAGCAGTATTTTTGCAGGTATATCTTCTAGGGCAAGGGAAACAAATAAAAAAATATGAAACTATATCAAAGTAAAAAGTTTTTTCACAGCAAAAAATCCCATCAACAATCGTGTGGTGATTGCAATGGGGAGGTGAGATGGAAGGAGGTGGAGAAGAATATTGTGAGTATAAACATTGATGGACAGAGACTTCACTTGAGATGGTGAACACACAAAACAGTGCACAGATGTAGTGTCATAGAATTGTGCCCCTGAAATCTGTATAATTTTGTTAACCAGTGTCACCACAATAAATTCAATTTAAAGGAAAAGAATGAAAAGATAATTTGAAAATCAAGAGTGATGGGCTAGGGAAGAGAGCTGCCAGCTAATGAATATCTAACTTCTTAACCCATAATGCAATTTAATAATACTCCATCCCATTTGAAATAAAATATATTGTAATTATTTATTTTGAAAGTGAAAAGATAACCCACTGAATGGGAGAACATATTCACCAATGATACATCTGATAAGTGGTTAATATCCAAGATATATAAAGAACTTATAAAACTCAATACAAAAAAAACCCACATAAACAATTTTGTTATTAGATGGGCAAAGATCCAAATGACACTTTTCTCCCAAGAGAACATAGAGATGGCCAATAGACATGAAAATGTGCTAAAGTAACTAGTTTTTAAAGAGATACTAATTAAAACCACAATGAGATATCACCTCATGCTATTCATAATGACTATCATAAATAAATCAACAAACAGCAAGTGCTGGCAAGGATGTAGAGAAAATGAAACCTTCATGCATGGTTGATAGAAATGCAGACTGGTGCAACCACTGTAAAAAAACAATATGGAGTTTCCTCAAAAAATTAAAAATGGAACTGCCTTTTAAGCCAGAATTTCCACTGGATATATATCTGAAGAGGCCCGAGACCCTTATTCGAAAAAATATTTGTACTCCCAGTTCATTGAAGTTTTATTTGCAACAGCTCTGGAAACAGCCGAAGTATCCATCAGTACATGAGTGAATAACAAAGCTGTGGTAATTTACCACAATGGAATACTACTGGGCCATAAAACAGAAGGAACTCTTATTCTTTCTGACAGCATAGATGGACCTGGAGAATATTCTGCTAAGTAAAATAAGCCAGTCAGAGAATGACAAATGCCATATGATTTCATTTATATGTGGAAGCTAATGAACTAACTAACAAAATATAAATAGAAACATGAACTAACAAACAAAATATAAATAGAAACAGATACATAGAACAGACTGTCAGCTGTCAGAGAAGAGGAGTTTGGCTAGGATTAAACAAAATTTATTATACATATATAAAAAATAAAACACATAGACTCATTCAACAGTATGTGATAGCCAAATGGAAACGGAGTAGGAGGAGGTAAAAGAGGGAAAAGGGGGAATAGAAGTGGTAAATTAGAAAGAGACTTTACTTTGGGCGATGGGTATGCAGATGATGTTTTGCTGAGTTTACACTTGAAACCTGTATGGTTTTATCCAATGTTACATCAATATTTTATATATATAATTAAGTCCAAAAGGTGCAAAAGCAAAATTTACTTCATAGGACTAAACATAAAACAACTTGAAATAATTATTCACTCAATTAACCTTAATGTAGAAGAGAGATATAGGTATGATTTATTCTACATTTTTCCTACCTTTCTTTCTCATCCCTGACAAATAGATATAATTTATTAAGAAAAAAATGAAAATAATCCTATGTAATAAAAGGCTAATATGCAAATTGTCCCCTTGGGAGTTCAACCAACCAGGAGTTTGACCACTTGCTATGATGTGTGCTGATCACCAGGGGGGTGCTGTGGAACAAAGGAAGGCCCAGCGGCAGCTGGAAGCCGGGAGAATGAAGGCCCCGATTGGCCCTGATCGTCAGCTAGTCCTAAGTACTCTACCCATGCACAAATTTTGTGCACCGGGCCTCTAGTTAAATTATCATTAGTTTTGCAAGTAAAGTTTGAGTACTACAACATAAAAATTACATATTATATAAAATAAAACTCAAATCTCACCTCTTCATATTTTTCTTTCCTTTTCCTTTCAATACTTTTAAATCTACTTTGCTTATTTTATATATGAATTAGAGGCCCGGTGCACAAAAATCTGTGCA